GCAACGCGCGCGAGTGCGCGCATAGGTGAGTGAGAGTCGATTATCGTGTACTTTCGTTTACTCCTGCCCGTTGGTTACTCAAGCTGGTCCGTGTCGACATCATGTGGCGTTACTTGTGGCAATGGAGTAGAAGTTCTTTTTCGTGCTTGCACAAATCCTGCTCCTAAACATGGCGGAAGATCTCGCCCTGGAGCTAGCTACTCATTTTCCTCGTCGCAGAAAACTAATTTTCATCTCGTATTTTAATTCACAGTTGACGGTGGTTGGTCAAGTTGGAGTGGATGGACTTCATGCTCGAAAATTTGTGGAGCTGGTTCACGACAACGTTCTCGAAGCTGCACGCGACCGCCTCCTCGTTACGGTGGGAAATCTTGCCCTGGAAGTGGATTGGAAAGACAAGTGTGCAACAAACAACCTTGCCCGGGTAAGAAATGAAGCGTTTCGTGGAATTACAGATTAGTGTTTCAACTATTCCTACCTTTAAGAGTTAGTTTTCCATATAGTATATCTGCAAAATATCGATTTGTGTTATCAAATGTATAGTTGATAATGGACTACTCTTCCTTTGTAAGAAGCCAGGAAAACTTAATCAAAGGTTGGGCCGTTCTGTCATTGACCGGTTTGTAACGGAACGCTTTACAATTACAAAGCTGATAACCGACTATTTAACAATTAGATTATGGGCTCGAGATTTCTATGAGGTGATAGTTGATGAGGCCGAAGGCCGAATCAACTATCACCTCATTGAAATCGACAGCAAATAATCTAATTGTTTTAGTAGAATTCTTCAAATAACGGTTTCCAATTATTTCTTGACGTATTATTAAACTTTGCCCCTGAAAAAGATCGCTCGGATTGAATTGTCGCTTAAAATTGAAGTTGTGTGCAGGTGCGCATCAGTTTTTTCAATAATTTAAACTTTTTTAAATGCCAAGAAACCGTAAATGTCCTTCGTTAAGACTTCTCAGGAATTTAATTATCCATTTGCATCAAAATTTGCCTCCAAAACTTTGAAAAAATGATAAAACGTCGCCACTTCCTAGACGACCTCCAGCCACTGCACACTAATGGCTGATAGTGTCCAATGGCTCAGCCAATCAGATTACGGCATTTGCATTAGTATACTAGTAGAATTCTACTAAAGCTGCTTAGAGTGTTACAAGGTAATAGAATATATAGAGGTGAGATCATTACTACGATTATCAGTTGAATAAGGCACGAGGGAAGTTTGGTTACGAAGTTTTGGCCTTAAAATTATGGTGTTGTCACGGGCAACTTACTCCGTTTCCATTGGTAACAATATCAACGGCCGTTGGTAGCCTGTCGCGATCGCCTACAATTTCGCGCGCTTTGCTGCCAATGACGTCAAAGGCCGACAAGTTACCAGTGGATACGGAGCCAGTTGCTCGTGACAACAACAAGATTTTTACGTTAAAACCTGGTGACCAAACTTTCGTCCCGCCTTACT